AAGTTGAACTGAACAACTTCTTCCGAATCCATTGATTGCATTCTCGTATGAGTGTCTTCGCCGCAGCTCGATGGCATGATTTAGGTGTTCGCGGCCTATCACCACCTCCCTAAGAAGTGGTCTACAAGTGATCTAAAATTTTTTCCAACTTCAGGTACATCAAATTGCACTTCGTACGGTTAGATATCCATTTGCTATCTTTTCTTAATTTTTGGTTGCTTGGTGCAATAATTTGCGCAGTTCTACCGTACTGACTGTTGAGCTCACCCCAGTCCACGCCAGTCAAGTGCTCACAGGTCAAATTATAACCTTTCCCAATCAAGGGTCCAGATGTTTGTGTTGTCTGCGGGTGTCCTTGGCTCCCAACACTGCTTTATATGGGTTTGTTTTATCGGATTATTTTACTCCAGGTGGAAGGAAGGAAATAGAAAGTGGGTCTTCTCGCCTTATCGGCGAGAGTCGGAGAATCCGAAGCGTTCCGGTTTCGAATGCAAACCATACCATTTCGTATCCGCAGTAGACGTCATTTAAAAGGCCTGTTTCCAATATACGGCCTTGCAGATTGCCTGGTTTTCACTGATAATATAATTTACCACCTAATCTCACGGATCGTTTCCAGTGTCACCTTAAAGTTGTGCACATTGGTACAGTTGACTACTCTTGCAAGTAACTTGATCCATGTTGGTTTGCCCCTGTGTGAAAAGAAGTTGGCCGGAACCTCCAACCTGGTGTGATTCTGCTGGAGCTTAGAGCCATGACCCCTCGTGCTTTGAGCAAACTAAGCCGTAAAAAGGTCGTCCATACGGAGTCCTGATAGTCTTCTCACTATTTTAAAAGGTTCTATTAGATTTCCTCGTTTTCGTCTATGTTCTAATGAGAAGGAATTGAGATCGCTTAATCGCTGTTCATAGCTTTTTCCTTTTTTTCCAGCTAACATTCCAGTAGCAAGTCGTTGCGTCTTCTCCAGGCATGATATATCCTTCGTATAGTATGGGGTCCGTGACTAAGCAAAGTATTCCAAGTGCGGCCAACTATTGTCTTATAAATGGAAACAAAGGCCCCTGGGTTTATACAGGTATTGGTAACAACCTGAAAAGTTCAACACGGACCTTATTGGCTAACTTCAGCTATTGTTTCGGGTTCGAAGCTTTTGGTGAGAATAACTGCTTAACTACCTCCATGTGCTGCGGTAGCATCTGTCCGTCCTGGGTGATGTCAGCTCTCTCTATTAAAAGTTGGCACTTTTTGAGGTTTAATGGCAAGTCCCACTTGATTGATCATTGTCTAGCCACTTCCATCGTGCTCTAGATTTACTCCGGCTACTTTCACATCGTCCGCGGGCATAGAACGGAGTTTGGAGATCCCGCGTCAAGCCGTTGATATAAATTGGAAAGAGTAGTTGTCTTAGAACTCATCCTCGAGGCATCCCACCGGTTACCCTTGCAGGTTCGTTCAGAAAATCGCCAACCCTTACACTGAACGTGCCATGGCAGAGAATCTGCGCGCCCTAATATCTGGCTGCACCCTGTATTCCTGTATCCTGTAGCTTGCGGTCTAGGAGCAAATGACTGACTGAATTGAAAGCTTTGCAAAAGTCAGAGTAACAGACTTCTAGCTGCCAACCTTCGTTTGGCCCTTTTATACCCTGATCGGAAAAGGTTAGCAGGTTAGTCGGGCATGATTTTCTCTCAGTGAACCCACACTGGTCTGCTGCCAACAAGTTATGGATGCTTAGATGCGTATATATTCCCCCCTCATTATCCGTTCTGAGCATCTTCACATAAATGATATCAAAATAACCAGTCAGTAATTGCTTAGCTTACGCTTAGATCCTTGTATAGAGCGACGGCCGTTACTTTTCGCCAGTCCGGGTGTACCAAAATCCCTGCTATGGGCCAAACTATAGTAGGGTGTATTAAATCCGGTTATGCAGCCTTGTGTCAATTAAGTGATGCATGCTCTCTGGCTAAACCGCTCTCGTTGATTGACATTTCACTTTTTTATTTCAACATGTAACCAATTACAGAGAACTGGCAAATGTGCCACAACATATGAACACAGAAATATGAAGAGTGTGTGGGGAGGTTACTTCCCGGTTGCCCTGGCCGAGGAAAGGAATATTTCATTGATCGTTGATATGTCTAAACGTGGTGCAGTGGACTTCGCAGCATTTCGTTGCATCGGCCATCGGTATACGTTCTTAAAGAAGGTTAAAAGGCTGCTCGCTTTGGCTTGGTTCAATGTGGCTATGCTATCTCCACTCATCTCCATTAGGCCCACACGTTTCATTTTTTTGGTTTGTACTTAGGCATGAAACTTTTTGGGATTGTTTGTACTTTGTCTATTTTCTTTTCGTTTTTGTGTCTTGTTTCGGACTTTCTTGTATTGACATTTTGTCTGCTGCTTATCATATGTTCTATAGTTTGCCTAACATCTGCGTACTTTCTTTGCAAACTTAGACCACTGAACTTCTCCATTTTCCGTTCGACTCTACCTTAAACTTTCTTGTCCTTCTATTATTCATCCAAATTGGCCGCCAAAAGACAGCAATCAAAACCGGCGCACGAAAGTGCATGGTTAATGGTTGTTCAAACTGAAACTGAAACTTTCAGTACCCTATTTGGCTTGGGCTTCCGCCATACTATCCTGTGGTTTCCATGCTTCGGGTTTAGCTTCGCAAACTCATTCGTTAGTCGGCATACCTACTTTGAGCTTATTCCACCTCTCTTCCATGGTCGGTTTCGGGGGTTCTGTTATCCAGATTACCTACTCTGCTGCTGCGCCCAAGGCCGACTCATTTATATGACTATGTATACGTATATATTCAGACGTTCAAATGGGGATGTAGCCTTGACAAGATGATCAATGGGTAATGAGCAAAATCGTGGCTTCAGTTGGGCACGAATAGTGTAACTGTTAGTGACGTATTGGCGTTCTTGGACGCTGTATGGCAAATTCTTTGTTCTCACAAAATGTAACATACGCACAATACCCAGATCACATCGAGAGTCATGTAATTCTTTCATTGACGCACGTGAAACAGAAGCCGAGCAAAATCCGTGGAAGAACACATCGGCTGCGACGTCCTTTGAGCCCGGGCGAGACGGTAACGGGATAACCCAATCGTCCCCTCGTTGAAGTTTATCATTTTCAACTTTTCCATGATGTCTTGAATCAAACAAGAGAGGCACCGAATTTTGTATGTATGTATTTCACATGTGCGTCTAAATCCAGACTGTCTGTCATAGTACAATCCGGTCGTCTCCAGTAGCTTCTGCTCACGAAGCCCTACTCATTGCCTCCTCGTGGCGGAGGTGTTTTCCTACTAAAGCGAGAGGACGAAAAGTCGACACCCGGATCTAGAAACGGGTTGGTGGACCACTGGTAGTTCACCTAGGGAAGTTGGCCAAAAACCCTGATTCCAAACCAAACATAAGGAGCCGTACGAATCACACACCTTCCAGGTTGTTGCAGTGGTCACCGGTTCGATTGGGCATCTAAGTGTATTGAGCACCTTGGGCGTTTGACCCTGTCTGAAGGGCGTATGATCTGATGAACTGGGCGCCGGATCCCAATGGATTGCGGTTTTCACACACCGCCCGCTGTCTTGCGGATCAGGCTTTGGCTAGTCGAATGCTCCGATTATGGATTCCTCAAGAAAATTCACCTGCCTTGGCCTGGGTAACCTGGCGGTATTCCGCCCACATGATCCTATTATCGTGTCATAAATGGACTGTCGTACATGAATTATCCGAGTCTGTCCTCGACCCAGTCCAGAGAATTTTCATGACTCATACCTACTAGTCTCGGCCATCGATTTCTCTTGGCTTTGTGTCATTTTCACCATTCGAGATGTGGTGCAGATGCAGTAGATTAGGGGTGTGATCAGGTGAGAGTGGAATAAACAGTTTGATTGTGTGCTATTCGTAGATAGATTCTGCTGTATCGTTTACTGGGTTGTTAGCGGAGCGAGCTTGCAACCCCCACTCTGTGTGTGTGTGTGTGCATGTGCGCGCTCTCCACTTATGATGCACCGGACCATTGCACATCGCTGTCTCTCTCTCTCTCTTGCGTCTGCTTGGTTGGACATTGTCCTGTCTACCGTTTTTAAGTCGAGATTGTGAAAAGTTCAGCAGCCGCCTCGGTGGGATTCGAACCAACGCATGGACACCGCCTACGCTTTTTCAGCGCATACTCTACCAGCTGACCCACGAGACCGCACCGATATCACTGATCTTTTCACATTCGAGTTACCCATCCAACTCACAGAGGCCTATGGCATCCACCAGTTAGTATGTAAGCTGACTACCGTTGACACTCGTCAGCGGTATGTGTCGATTAACCTTTCACCCTACAGTTGACGTCACACGCACACTCTCTGCGTCCCACCACCAGGACGCCGAACGCAATCCATGTCGTATGCATTAGTCACGAAGCCAGTCATCTAACGCGTCTGGGTTTTCTCAGAACAGCGGGGGTTGGGGTGAAAAATCAAATCCCTGTTTTGCGCACTGGTCGCTAGCCAAATCAACTGCTGTGCTGCCGATATTCTAGCAACCAGTGTCTGATAGTAATGGAGGATTTGACTTGTTTACATGATGAATTCGTCGTGTAAGTGAGGCGTAAGCTGAAAGCTGGGAAGCACCGGACAGCTGTTTTGCCCTGGTTGGGTCTCGTCAGCAGTGCGAGTTCATCGACCCGACTGGGGATCGAATCCGGGACCTCAGTGCAGGCCTACTACCCACTCGGCCACCAGGCAGCTGATCAGACCGTTTCTCATTTTGAATTTACACAATATAGCACAACTCATCAATGCGAGGTTGTTGCGAGTATCGTTCCACGCTCATCTGTCTGTCAATGTCGACACCAATACGTGTGTGTGTGTGTGTACGCGTATGTTGGGTCCTCACTTCACGACGCTTGTGGCATAATGAATTTGTACAGCCTGTTGTGGGTGATTTGCACCGGTTCGGGGCCTCTACTAAAATGTCTTCAACAGAACTTTCAACATTTTACTCGGTACCAGCCGCAATGTACATTTTCTGGTCATAATCATCTTCATTTAGGGTGTGCAAACTACACACACGCATCATACATCCACAGCTGAAAGTGTGTAGGAACTAATTTAGTTTACCAAAAGCATGCTGGTGTCCCGGAAAAAGGAAAGACAAGGAAATACACACAGTATATATATATATATATATATATATATATGATGTTCAGTTTTTCGCCGAGCTTGGCAATTGTATTGCAAACGTTTCATCACCAATCGAGGTGACATTCTCAATGCAGTAATTTATCAGTTAATCATTTAAATCACGAACTGATTTCTTTGGTACAAAGATTTGCTTGGCACTTGGTCTAGATTTGAAACAAGTGTGAAATAGCATAATTATCTATCGTTTACCTTAACTCAACCCACAGCTCAAGCTTGATCCAAAAGCTGGCATGACGAAATTTGTGAACAGGTCACTAGAACGAAACCTAACAGGGAACCACTAGACGTGTATCGACATTCACCTTCCTCGTTTTAAACGTTGCAATTACGATAAACTGTTTAGTGCCAGTTTTACCTTATCCAATTTGATTTTTCAGACATGTTTCTGTACTTTTTTCCCTTATCTGATCATGTCAGAAACTTGTTCCGGAAGGTGAAAAGGCTTGCTTTTTATGCCAGGTGCCTCAAGTCATTTTAGATCCCCATTCATCTCCTAAGGCCTTTTGTTTAGGCCAACATTTTTTCCTGTTGGTTTCATGGGTTTCGCGGGTCATCTAATAACCAGTTTAAAACCCGTCTCCAAGCATGAATGCACAGAACGATTAAGTTGAGTACGTGTCTGTCGTCTTCCGGGATGGGGTTCAAAAGACTCCGAAACCGCATGGCTGGAGACACTGAAGGTCATGGCTGCGAACTGACAACAGTAGTGATCTTGCTGTCACTTCCTATCAGACCTTAATGCTTGAAATAGTATGTATGTACAGTTGGACTGTTTACTGTGTGTTGACCATGGAGGTTCGTTTTCTTTTCCTGTCTCTAAAAGTAAGTTCAACCCCTATCCTCCTTACACCTTCTCACTTACCGTCTCCAGATCCTTCATGTTTCTTTTGGCATGTAGCCGCATTAGCCTCATGAGTATATTGTATTGCATATTGTAAGGTTTGTAAACCCTTCTCGCACGATTTCATCTCACTATACTCATTCGCTATGTATACATTATATATATATATATATATATATATATATATATATAGTATATAATTGACTGGAAAAAATTCCTCTGGAAGCAGGCAACAGGTTTCGCGGTTCTTGCCGCTCGTCAGGCATGCGTATCCGGTGATCTTTTGTCTTTTCATTCATACACCTGTACCCTACAGGCCCTATCCTCGTGCGAGGATAATGGCATCGATTTACTCCCAGGTGGCCGGCTGTCTGATCTAGAGTACGCAGAAGACATTGTGCTACTAAGTGAAGATCCAAGTAAGTTGCAAGCATTTCTGGATAACTTGAATGCCAGTGTAGCCATATTCGGTATGTGTTTTGCACCTTCAAAGTGTAAAATGTTACTACAAGACTGAGTTGGTCCAGCACCCGGCCTCACTCTAACTGGGGGAGTAATAGAGCATGTGGATAAGTTTTGTTATTTGAGCAGCTACATCTCACCCGGTGGACGCATCACAGATGAAGTGTCAGGTCGCATACAGAAGGCTCGGTTTGCATTTGCTAACTTGAGACATCTGTGGCGCCGTCGCGATATCCGGCTGTCTGTGAAGAGTCGAGTGTATGCGGCGGCAGTTCGACCAGTTCTGCTATACGGCGCTCTGTGAAGAGTCGAGTGTATGCGGCGGCAGTTCGACCAGTTCTGCTATACGGCGCTGAAACTTGGCCATTAAGAAAACAAGATAAAGACAGACTGTCGGTGTTTGAACACCGCTGTCTACGCAGGATTGTACGAATCTGGTGGGGTAACCGGATGAGCAATGCTGAGGTTAGGGTCAGAGTTTTGGATAAATACGGTCGCCGTGGCATCCTATTAGGTGACATGCGTAACACATGTTCTAACCAGCGTAATCTGTGGAGGTCGGCCACTTTATTGGGAGACATCGGTTACCTAAGACTCTCCGCCTAACCTCAGCATTGCTCGTCCGGTTTTCCCACCAGGTTTATGCAATGCTGCATAGACTATGGTGTTCGAACACCGACAGTCTATCCTTATCCTTTTTTTTCTTGATGGCCAAGTTTCTGCACCGTATAGCAGAATTGACCGAGCTTCTGCAGCGTATACTCGACCCGAACCGAATATCATGGCAGTGTCACAGATGTCTTAAGTTGGCGAGCTTTCTGTGTGCGTGATGACACTTCATCCGTGATGCGTCTAATGGGTTGTGAATAGCCACCCAGATAAAAAAAACGTATCCACTTGCTCTATTACCTCCCTAGCTTTATTGAAATTGGGTGCTAAACCAACCCAATCTTGTAGCGACATTTTACGCTTTAAAGGTGCAAAACGTATACCGAACATGGCAAAAATAGCATTCAAACTGTACAGTACAGCATGCAAATTATCTGGATCTTCACTTAGGAGTGCAATGTTGTCCTCATATTCCAGATCAGGTGGTCTACCCCCTTGGAGCAAATCGATAACGTACGTGGTTTCTCACTCCAAGTCGCATTGTTTATGTGTTTGGGAATCATATGCGAACAGTGGGTCCTCGTGACTCGAGTTTACTCTTTCAGCTGTTCCCCAAAGCGATCTCTGATCGAGTTTTTATTGCTATACTGATCGTGATAAAATGTTTTGGCATAATCCATATGTTTTGTATAACAATTTCTTCAACAAATTTCTTTTCAGCATGTTTCACCACACATTGGACAGTCTGTTTACCAGTTTACACAAATGAGCTCCATTGAGAGTGGTTCATCTCCGAACGTCACCACGATTTCCAACGAAGTTGATCTTCCCGAATCGAACAAACTCTCTGAGATCTTGCCCAGCGGTTCCAACCCCTCGACAACGATTGATCCCAACCAAACAACCATCACAGTCACTGTAGCTTCGTCAAGTTCCAGCCTACTGATACGATCGGATCAGTTAGTTGGTTCTATTTTCAAGAGTTCTACGGTTCAGAGTGACGGACAAAGAAGCACACTGGCAGATCACGTAATTAAGCCAGACGCATCACCAAAGGCATGTGTTCGACCTCCGTCAACCGGTGACTTAACACGAAAACGATCCTTTGAAGCTGAAGAAACAAACTCGGATAGCCACACAACGTCGATATCCGGTTGTAATGTGCTCAAGCGTCAAACTCCGAACAGTACCGTCCGTAAACCTCCGGAGCGACCTACCACGCTTTTTCCGCCTCGGGTCGCTGCCGTTCGTCAAGTGAAACGTCCCAATTCATTACCAATACCTTCACACGTACCTTCACCGAAATCGGAAAACTGGGATCAGTTGAAGGAGCCGGACAAAACCGTTGGCACTTCATCCACAGAAGGAGGGGCTGCTTCAACACCGCGCACAATTGTGGCTGGTCGTCGCGTGTTGCAGAGCACGCAAACTCTTAGAGGAAGCTTTCCCCGAACCGCTCCTGAAGGTAAAAATATCGTATTATGCGGAGCGCGGAACCTTTTAACACTCACATATACTCTTCTAGCTAACCCCGAAATTACACAACCTCCTGTTTGTGGATGGTTTTGTTACCAGTCATTGGAATGTTCGTAGTCGCTAAGACTGGTCTACATTACAGTCGCTCTGTTCCAATTCATTTATGTGGATAAAATCGATTGGAAAATTTCTTCAACTAAATAACAATATCGATGATATGCACTTTTATGGGAATAGCTTGAATCTGTTTGTTGCATCACTCGGTTGTCCCAGGATTATCCAGTGAGTATTTCTCCTCGAAGAATCATCATCATCGTACAGCGAAATGCAGTTAAGCGAACTTCACAGTGCATAGTTTGTGTATGCATTGGGGTTTTATGGACCGATACTGCTAGGATGTCCAGCCACTAAGCAGGAGAACCATTAGGGTTCTCATCCAAAGCCTTTAGTTCTGACAAGAGCCTAACCACAAGGCAGCGGGTGAAGCGAAAATGAGGCCTATTTACTTGGATCGATTACTCCTCCACCATTTTTTACCGACTGAAAGGCAAATTCTAGTCGAATCCCGAACCTGGAGGACCACAATAATAACTGTCGAATAAGTGCATGCATCATTCTATCGATTTTCATGTCTCTTCTTACTTCCCTTTCATTATACACATTTACATTGGCTAAAATTCAGCGCTCTTCAGTCTTTGTTGGCACACACACACAGTGCATTGTTTTGCTTACGGCCTGTCGTAAACAGTGATTAATTGTGAACGGGGGATCTTATCCACGCTTTGGTACGCTGTACTGGGTAATCATCCGTTAATAGATCATTTTAGTTGCCTTCCAGGTTGGGTTCCGAAAGACTCTGTAACTAGCTGGTTGGAAACGCGGAAGGACATGACAACTAACCGACAGCAGTGGCGTTCTTTTCGTCATTTCTTATCCGGTCAGAGTGGTTGAAAATGTGTACACAGTTAATTTGTACACTCTGTGTGTTGTTCATAGAGTTACACTTTCCCTTTTCCGCCCTTCAATTAGGTCCAGTCTCTCTTCATCTTGTAGTTTATCATTTATGTACATTTTGAGCTTCGCAGCAATCAGCAAAGTTCACTTCACCGCGTATCTCGCCGTACGATGATCGTGATGATTGTATTGTATTGTATTGTATTCAAGCTTCAGCGAGTTATATACAAGCTTTCAGCCAAAAAATAGAATACCGTTACAATTCTGGTAAATATAGGGGGAAAAGTTGGATGTGAAAGGTGCACAAATGAGTTAATTATCAAATGCATTAGAAAGCTCAGAACGAACTCTTCTTGTCGGTAAGTATCCGGACAAGATAGGGTACCATGATGATGAATCTCAGATACCGCTTTCAAGCATTCATGTTTACTGGTCTGTAGGTCGACACATTCCACTCTGAGGTTAGCAAATACCATTTTTTTCTGAATAATTGATCTTGCTATTCAATCGGTTTTGATATTGATCCAATGTGCTTCAAATACATAACTGGAATAGGACAGATAGTCCAAGGATGACTAACTGAGTTACGCGAATCCTATGCATCCTCCCTGCAACGTATCCGATTGCTGAAAGAGTGCAGGCTGATCCTTGTGTGGAGGCTGTTTCACCTTTGATTAAATTCGTAACTCAGATGGATGAATCATACGTTTATTTTCTTCTCTATATGGCCTACATTCGCGCAAAATCCGTCTATTTTACTCTAACAATCTGTGCATTCTTTTCGCAGCCCAGCGAAAATCTGTTCCTGGGTCGGCAAATGAATCGCCGTGGCAACCGCTGGCCTCACATGAGATCGGCACACGTGCACCTCCGTGGGCGCCAGATCACATGACCACTTCATGCATGTTATGCTCCACTCATTTCAATCTGATCCGACAACGTCAGCATTGTCGTGCTTGCGGTCGGATCGTGTGTGCGGTTTGTTGCACCCGATCCGTCCCCGTCCCGTATCTCAGCTGTGTAGGCACCAACCTGGAGCAGAAACAGCAACAACAACAACGTCCTACCGGTAATGAGGTGCAGAGTTTGTCAGTGCCTTCTTTTCAACGCTCTTACTCCTCTCCCGAGTCGCGACATACCCGTGTTTGCGAGCTCTGCTATTCTGTTTTGACTAAATGTAAGTCCAACCGCCCCACCCACCCCCCGTCCCCAT